AATTAGATGTATGAATGGATGGGTAGGTGGATGGATGGATGATGACATGGATGGAAGGAAGGATGGATGGATGGATGGATGGAGTAATGGATGATGGATGGATGGACAGATATCTGGATAGATGAAAAGAAATGATAGAAATACGAGTGGGTGAATAGGTGGTTGAGGAGTGGTCATAATTTCCTAAAAATTAGACTATGTTGTAGTGGTGTCAGTTGCTGTCCAGTCAACCATGACTCACAGCAACCCTCTGAATAACAGATATGCACTCTGCCCTACCCCACACTACACTCTGGTCTCAACCTGCTCAAGCTCATTGCTGCAGTCACTGCGTCGTCTTCTCTTCTGCTGACCCTCTATATTTCTGATGTTCTTTTCCAAAGATTGGTGCCTGCTGAAAGCATGCCCAGAGTATATGAGAGGCAGTCTCTCCAACCTTGCCTCTAAGGAGCGCCCTGGTTGCACCTTCTCCAGTGCAGATTTGTTTGTTCTTTTGGCTGTCCCTGGGATAGTCAATATTCTTCACCAACACCACAGTTCAAAGCCAACAATTCTTTTGGCTTTCTCATTTATTGCTCAACTTTCAGATGCATAGCAAACAGTTGAAAATGCCGTGGCTTCCGCCAGGTGTGCACTTTAGTCTTTAAATTGCCATGCTTGTCCTTTCACACTCTGGAGACATCCTTCCCCGACAGCAGATTTTTTCCAATGTAACATGTCTTTTGATTTCTTGAGTGCCATCACCACGGGTACTGAATGTGGATCAAAGTAAAAGGAATTTGTTGACAATTTTAATCTTTTCTCTATCTATCATGATGACCACTGGACCAATTGGCAGCATCAGTATGGATGGTGAAGAGATTGAGATAGTTAACAGTTTTAGTTTTCTTGGCTCCACAGCCAACACTCTTGGTAACAGTAGCCAGGAAATCAAGAGACGAATTGCATTGGGAAAGTCAGCTGTCAGGGGCCTCTCAAGAGTACTGAAGAGCAACGATGTCAGGCTGGAGACTAAGGTATGCCTGATCCAGTCTTTGTAATTACACGCTATGTGTTAGAGAGTTGAACAGTGACTGGTGATGATAGAAAGAGAATTGATGCCTTTGAGCTGTGGTGCTGGAGAAGAGTGTTGGATATACCATGGACTGCTAGGAGAACAAACAGGTTTGTCCTGGAGAGAGTGAAACCAGAATGCTCCTTGGAGTCAAGGATTCTGAAGCTTCATCTGACACACTTTGGGCATGTTGTAAGGAGGGACTAGTCCTTGGAGAGGGACATTATGTTTGGGAGAGTGGAGGGATGGCGCAGGAGAGGAAGACCCTCAATGAGATGGATTGATTCTGTGAGTGGAGTGGTGGGCGTCAGTGTGTCGGAGACAGTGATGTTGGCACAGGATAGAATGGCGTTTAGGGCTCTCATACATAGGGTTGCTTTGAGTCAAGAGACTCAATGGCACATAACAACAACAACAATCATGATGCTGTCTACTGGTCTAGCGGTAAGGAATTGTGTTTTCTTGATGTTGAGGTGCAACCCATCTTCTTCAAGTCGTCTTCATTTTCTGCCAGCGAGGTTGTATCACCTTCGTAACCTAGGTTATTGATGAGACTTACTCCAACCCTGATGCCACATTCATCTTCACAGGGCCCAGATTCTTGAATGATTTGCTTGGCAAACACTGAATAGGCATGGAGAAAAGAAACTACCCTGATTGACCCTTTTCCTGATTTTAATCCATGCAGTGTCCTCAGCATAAAAAGAGACCCCTGTGCATAGAGAATACCACAAGGTTCATATTTCCTTTGTTCTTTGCTTGTTTCTCCTGCTACGTCATCTCCTGAGTGCACGGGCTTTATCTGTGTCATTCGCTGCTGAGAGCACAGTGCCTGGAACCACATCTACCAGTTCCTAAAGGACTGGAAATATGCACCTATAAATGAAGCCTGCTCAGTCATTTCCTCCTCCTAAAGACGCCAGAATCCTGGAAGTTCAGCTGTCTCTAAGTCACGGCCTTCGGAGGTTGAAGAGAGAACCCTGGGGTGGTATCTGCAAATGGCTTAAGTCAGCCTGAGATCTCAGAAAGTACAGGACATGTGTTCAGTGAGGACACAGATGCCCTCGCCTCACCTCACCTCAGTCCAGGGAAGTGTCCCTCCTCAATGAGTGTTATCATGATGGTTAAGGGAACGTGTAACTGTGGTTGCCTAGGACTCTCCAGTTTGCAGTTATGATGGGATCTTTCCCTTAACAAAATCTAAGGGAATGTAACCACTCTCATGGTAAGATATTATGAGCTCAAAGAGTTTCACTGGAGCTGTGGCCTGCAGAAGGATGGGTAATCTCCTCCTATGCGCTTCACTGTCTCTGAAAACCTGCTGGAGGGTCAGCTATGGGTTGGTTCCAACTCGACAGAACACCACCACCACCACGTACATACATAGATCGCTGTTGTTAGTGCCGTTGAATCGAGTTATGACTCATAGTGACCCCATGAAAAGAACCCTGTACCATCTTCACACCTCCTGACACGAAAGAGCCCACGGCAGCAGTCACTGCATCGATCCACCGGGTTCAGGGTCTTCCTCTCCTTCACCGACCCTCCACCCTTCCCAGCATCATGTCCCTCTCCAAGGAATGGCCCCTTCTAGCAATACGTCCAAAGTATGTGAGGTGAAGCCTCATCATTCTTGCCTCAAATGGGCAGTCCAGATGCACCCTCTCCAAAACATATCTGTTTGTTCTTTTGGCCATTCATAGCATGGCTGTTAAGTGTGTTTCTCTCTTTGTGTATGTGTGTGTGTGTGTGTATACACACACACCCCACTCCTGCTTCCAAATATATACACTATAATGTTGTTGTATTATACATGTATATAATGCAATATATATGTAATGTATATGTATATATACTGTATGTCTATGATATGTTGTTGTTGTTGTTGTTGTTGTTTGCTGCCGTCGAGTCATAGACGACTCATAGCGACCCTATGAACGAACAGCCTGAGCACTGTTCGTACATAGAGTTTCCAGAGGCAAGCCATTTCAGAAGTGGATGCCGCTCCTGCTTCCAGGCTTGTTTTAGTCAGGAAGCTCCAGCCAACACTGTCCACCATGGGTACCCATTACCACGATTGAAAAATCACTGTCACAGTGTTCAGCATCACAGCAACCACGAGTTACCTCTGTACAGCAATGCACAGACCAGTGCTATACCACCTAGAAGAATGTTTGACAGGAGAACAATTTGAACCTTTGGATTTAAGGCCGCCTCCTGGCTCAAACAGTAGGCCAGGCCTGGCATGCCTCGCTTCCGGGGACAGAGCAAACCTGCGTGTCAAACACATGGCCGGAAAAGCACTCGACTCCAAAAGCTTGCCACGATTCCTGCGCTCACACCACCATGCTCCTTCTGGCAAGGAGAACTTCCTGAAATCCTGGGAGGAGCCAACCAGGAAGAACACGGCCCCTCCTCTCCCAACTGCTTTTGGGCTTACGGCCACCTCCTGGCTCAAACCATAGGCCAGGCCTGGCTTGCCATGTATTATATACGTGTAATATATATTACATATATATTGTGTGTTTATATATATTTGTTGTTGTTTTTGTGTACTGTAGAGTCAGACCCATAGCTGACCTTTTGGTGGGTTTTCAAGGGCAGTTAATTGCATGGGAGGAGACTGCCCATCCTTCACCCAAGAAACATCTGGTGGCCTCGAACCACGTGCCTCCAGGATTGCAATCTAGGCCATCTATTTAAATAAAATTTATTCTACACATTCTCCACTGGTTTTGCTTCTTGTAGAAGTGCACGGGCTAACACAGCTTACGAATTAGCTGTGCCCCCCAAAATTGTACCATAAATCCTAGCCCATACCAGGTGTATCCTGGGAGGTGGCTCAGGGGACAGGTGAGGGGTGCTTTTACCTGGCCATACAGGGTCATGAAGGTATCATTCTCCATAGTTTCCAGCAAATCCTCGAGCAGGACGCTGTTCTTTCGCTCTTCTCTCAGCCTAGAGTAGAATTGAAATCTGCGTGAGTCCGCTTTGCTCTAACAGGATTCCATGAGGAGAATCATAGAGTCACACGCTGATGATGAACACCGATCTGATCAGAATGGGCTTCTCTCTGATGTTCAGAGAGGAGCTTCATTCTTCTTCCAAGAGCCAGAGGCCATTGAGGTAACCCCAGCTCCTGACTACCCCACGTGTCGGAGCACAGAGGGGCGTCACCCATGTCTTAACGGCTGGTGTGCTGGACAGAGGTCGCCCGGCAACTGATGTAGTATTATTATTACTGCTATTATTTTACAGTTTCCTCTGGGGAGAAATACATGAAGGGTACAAGAATCCTCAGTTTTATTTTAGCACCTTCTTGTAACTCTATAAACAATTCAAAAGAAAAAGTTGAAGACACATCATGCTTACTCAATCTCAAAGATTTTACAATGAAAACAGTAAAGCACATGAAACGGCAGGAAGCAGCAGCATGGGCCAAATCAGTGGGTCCAGCCTGCAGGGAACAGGGGGTCCCTCCCCAGCCGGGCATGTGAGAGCCCAGGCAGGGGACAGGGGGTCCTCCCCAGCCGGGCGTGTGAGAGCAAGGGTTCACCCTAGCCGGGCGTGTGAGAGCCCAGGCAGGGGACAGGGGGTCCACCCCAGCTGGGTGTGTTGAGAGCCCAGGCAGAGGGCGGGGTCCACCCCAGCTGGGCGTGTGGGAGCCCAGGCAGGGGGCGGGGGTCCACCCCAGCTGGGCGTGTGAGAGCAAGGGTTCACCCTAGCCGGGCGTGTGAGAGCCCAGGCAGGGGACAGGGGGTCCACCCCAGCTGGGCGTGTGAGAGCCCAGGTGGGGGACAGCTCCCTGGTCCTGCCATGACCCAACACGGATCCACAGGGGCCCAGGTTTACCTCTGTTGGTGCTGCTCCAGGATCCTCGGGCCCTTGCCCAGAGCGTTCCTCAGGACAGTGGACACTTGCCCCTCAGAAGCCACCTCCACAGGCTCAGTCAGGGGTCCGGGTCCCTCAGCTGCCCACTGCTGCCGGCTTGCCAGGGCCTGCTGCTGCCCGGCTGCCTCCTGAAGGCCCATGTGCTCCTCCAGCTTCCTCTCCAACTCCTGAAGCTCCTGTGGACAGAGAGAGAGAGGTGGTTAGTCACCCGCAAAAGGTGTGGGAGCCAGGACAAAAGCCATCTCCTGAGCATGGCTGGAGCCTCAGCGCACTGGTCATCTCCACCGCGCTGTGCCGCATCACGGGAGGGGCCTGCAGAACCTTGGGCCTCCTGCCTTCTCATCCGGCCGAATCAGTCCTCCTGTCTTCCCATCACGGGAGGGGCTGGTCTCCTGTCTTCCCATCACGGGAGGGGCCTGCAGCATCCCGGGCCTCCAGACTTCGCATAGGTGATTTCCTTGACCCCATATAATCCTTTTCTTCAAATTTTGCACAATTTAATACAGCAAAAAAACCATCCCCACGTTTATTCAAGAAGAATGGGGAGTTGACCCTTAACAATGTGAGAGTTGGTGCATCAACCTTCTAGCACGTTGAAAATTGGAGTGTAACTTTCAACAAAATTGGAATAGAATTTCCTCAACATATTGTTGTTGTTATGTGTTGTCAAGTCACCTGAGACCCATAGCTCTGAAGCCTGTCCTGTCTTGAGCCAGTCTCACTGACTCTCTTTTGCTGACTTTCTTCCTTTCCCAGCATGATACCTCTTTTCAAAGATTGTTTCCTCCTGAAAATGTGCCCAAAGCAAGCGACACAAAGTTTCACCATCCGGCATCTGAGGAGCACACTGACGCCTCTTCCATCATGACAGATCTGCTTGTTCTCCTGACAGTACCCTTCACCCGCACCACCACTCAAAGGCATCATCTCTGTGGTCATCCCGTCTCACTGTTCACCTCTCAGATGCATAACAAGTGACTGAAAAAACTATGGCTTGCATTAAGTGCACCTTAGTCTTTAAATGGACATCCTTGCTCTTTAGCACTTTGAAGACAATCTTGACAGCAGATTTTCTCAAGACAGCACATATGGTCTGCCTCTCACACCTTAGAAAACACAGCCTGTAGGGATAATGGCAGGCTACTTGCATGGGGAAAATGATTAAGTGCCAGGCTGAAAGGTTGATGGTTCAAACCCACTCAGAGGTGCCTTGGAAGGTGATCAGCTTCTGAAAGGTCGCAGCCTTGACAGCCCCTCTACTCTGTACACATGAGGCTCATGTGAGAACCCATGTCAGAACCAACATGAGAGTACATGGAAAAACAAAGCCAGAGGAAACTGAGCTTTAAAAAACCAACCTTGTTATTCAAAATGGGCCACTCTGGAGGACATTATGCTGAGTGAAATATCTCAGTCACAAAAGGACAAATACTGCATAGTGCCACTGTTGTAGAACAGGACTGACATCAGGGTTGGGGGGAGACAGAAATATTGGATAAATTATGTATACTGCATTGAAACAGATGAGGGAGAGAACAGTTTAAAAGTGATAGACGTTTGGGTATTATGGTCATGACAGGAGTCCAGAATGAAGGCTGCATAGTGGAGTGTACTTGGGGAGAGGGCATTGTATATCAATGAAGGTATTTTTTTGTTACTTTTCAAAGGGAAGAGCGAACTGGGGGGGAGGGGAGAGAAGGGAGAAAAATGCAACAATGAATGAATGGAAATCCAAAATCTCTGTAAATGTTCATGAAAATGAATAAAATAAAATTTTTTTTAAAACCAAAAACAAAAAAACCCTCCCACCTTGTAACAGTTTGAAACTAACCCTTTAAAAGACCTAAAGCCAAAGGACTCTCTTTTATAAGAAACAGAACAGTAGAAGACTAACTTCTTAAATAATGGGAGCTAACTTTTTACAGCATCCTGGGGCTTAGTGGTAAGGACTGGTGCTGCAATCCCACAAGTACACTGTTCTAATCCACCAGAGGCTCCGTGGGAGAAAGATGGGCAGTACCTGCCATGTCATTTACAGCCTCTGAAAAACTGCAGGAGGGTCAGCGATGTGACTCAATGGTACCCAACAACAACAAACAGTGGCAAGAAGCTGTGCTGAAATCCCAAAGGCACGTAGTTTACATCCACGGGAGAATGTAGAACAATCTCCTCCCACATGACTTACTGCCTCTGAAGACCCGCTGGAGGACCAGCTACGACACACAACAAAACACCAGCAATGTAAAACAAACCTTCTTTCTATAACATTTTTAAAAGACAAGGGGTTTTTTCTTCATCTACCAGTGTCAGCAGGGCGCTCTGGTGGCCTAGGGGGTAAGGAATTGTGATGCCAATCCACAGGCTGGCGGTTCAAATCCATCAGCTGCTCCTCAGGAGAGAGACGGGCACTCTCCTCCTGTGTGACTGACAGCAGCTGAAAACCCGCTGACGGGTCAGACAAAGGTCGGTTCCGACCCTACAACAATGAGCTGTTTGTGGTTGAGCGGTCTAACCAAGCGAGGCTTCCTTATCACAGAGAAGCCCTTGCCGATGTCTGTCCATGCTGTGGCCTCAGGCTGTGGTTTTACTCCCCCTGATGTTGTTGTTGTCGTTGAGTACCAAAGAGTAAGAACTGATCTGCAAGAGAAGAGACTGCCCATCCTTCCCCCTCGGAGCAGCTGGTGGCCTCGAACCACGTGGCTATGGGATTGCAGTGCAGCTTCTTGCCCTAGGCCACCAGTTGTTGTTGCTGTTGTTCTGTGCCATCAAGTCCTTTGTGACTCACAATGACCCTCTGTACAACAGCTCTGAGCTCTGCTCTATCTTGAGCCAACATTATTATCTCTAAACACCTACCTCCGTTACCCCACTCACTGAGTCAATCCATCTCATCAAGTGTCCTCCTCTCTTCTGATGTCCTCCCACCCTCCCACCCATGATGTCCATCTCCAAGGGCTCATCTCTCCTTGCAAAGGCCACCAAAGCTCCCTGAAATATGTTATCAAGAATTGCTCCCTTTTGGAAATTGTCAAATTTATATGGAGAGGCAAGAGACTTCAAATAAGCAAAACACTTCTGAGAAACAAAAATGAAGTGGGAGGCATAGCACTCCCTGACCTCAAAACCTACTACACAGCAGTAGTAACCAAAGCAGCATGGTACCGGTACAATGACAGGCACATAGACCAACGGAAGAGAATTGAGAACCCAGAAATAGACCCAGCTCTCTCTAGTCAACTGATATTTGACAAGGAAATCAAAGCTATCAAATGGAGAAATGATAGTCTCTTCAACAAATGGTGCTGGCAAAACTGGACTTCCAACTTCAGAAGGCTGAAACAGGATCCACATCTCACACCATACAAGAAAATCAACTCAAGGTGGATCAGAGACCTGGGAGTAAAGCCCCAAACCATAACATTCATAAGAAACAAACTGGGACCAAGCTTAGATGGCTTAGTTTCCAGTATAAAGAGACTGTCCCATACAGACGAAAAAGCACACTCTGAAGGGGGGGGAGGGGGGAGGAGGATGAATAGGACCTTCTAAAGATTAAATCCCTGTGTACATCAAAAACTTTTTCCAACAAGGTGACTGACTGGGAACAAACATTTGGTAATACCATCTCAGACAAAAGTTTACAGAATACTCCTGGGCCTTCACAAGAAAAAGACTGATAACCCAACTAAAAAATGGGCAAAAGACATAGAATGAATTTTCACAGAGGAAGATATTCAGATGGCCAACAGACACATGAAGAAATGCTCAAAATCATTGGCAATAAGAGAGATGCAAATCAAAATGACAATGAGATTTCATCATTGTAACAGCAACAATGTCAAAGTTTAACATGACAGCAAGTAATAATGTTGGAGAGGATGTGGTAAGATAGGAACTCTTATACATTGTTGGTGAGATTCCATTCTGGAAGTCAGTTTGGCACATTCTCAAACAGTTGAACACAGAAATTCCTTATTGCCCAGCTAATCCACTACTTGGAATACACCCTGAGAATATGAGAACTGAGGCTCAAACAGAAACTTTTACACCAATGTTCATAGCAGCATTATTCACCATCGCAAGAACATGGAAACAGCCTGATGTCTAATCATGATCAAATGCATTGAGAAATTATGGTTCATTCACACAATGGAATACTATGCAGCACGCAGGAGCAATAACTTTGTAAATTATTACCTAACTTGGGAAGAACTGGAGAGCATTATGTTGAGTGAACTAACTCAGTCCCACAAGGATAAATATTGTGTAAAACCATTATTGTAGAATGAGTATAAGGATCCAAGAGGGTGAGGGATGAGGATTGAGGGGTTGGGGATTAATCATGGGGTTGCACAATTTGATGGGTGGAGGGGTGAAGGAAATTGGAAGAATCTGTTCTGGAAAACAATGTACTCAAATTTTATAAATAAATTAGTATAAATAAAAAAAATGGAAAAAAGAAAAATGATGAAAACTTAGAAATTTAAAAAAAGAAACTGCTCCCTTTTGGATGGTCCCAGGCTATGGCTGGAATCTGGACAAGGGCCGGCCTCTTAGCCTGGGACACAATCGCCAGGACTGAACGCTTGGACAAGACAAGATTCAATGGGCGTTCTCACGCTCCACCAACCTGCATAAGCCCTAGAGTCCACCAGGCAGAGGGACAGATCTGGGGCCCTCACAGCCCTCGTCTCCTGTATGTCTGTATACAGTAAAACCTCTGCTTGTCCACTCCAGCCACTGCCTCCAAGATGGGTTATTCTAGCAGCAAAATGGTGGTCGTGAGGTAACCAGTTGACCCCAGCTCCTGGCCACCCGTGGGAGTCAGGGTACAACCATCCTCCACAGAGGCTCCCAGGGCTTATTTTTGGGAAGTGGATTGCCAGGTATTTCTTCTCAGGCACCTCTGGGTGAACCTGAACCTCTGACCTTTCCATCTCCATCCCAGTATGGTAATAATCTGTATCCCTCAGGGGTTCTGTGTGCTTCCCAGACAAGAGTGGAGAAGCATCAGGGTGCTTGGTGGGACCTCACTAACCCGCAGCCTTGCAGTACAGCAGATGGGGTGACCAGCAGGTCCACATGACAGGTCACGCAGCCAGGAGGGTCCTGGTGCCCGGGCCTCGGGCTCTCCCTCCTCCTCCCCTCCTCCCACGCTCACCGGGGTGTGGGAGCCCAGGATCTGGGCACAGGCCACCGCAGTCAATGTCTCGGTCTCACTCAGCTCCTCCAGCAGCAGGTCCTGGATGCTGAGAAGGGCAGTGTAGGCAGACAGCGTCCTCGCCCTCCTGACCACCTTCTGGAACTGCAGGGATGCGAGAGACTCAGCGAAGCTCTGCTCCAGGGCCTCCAGTTGCTGGACTCTCTCCTGGAGCAGCTCCTCCCGGACCTGCCGGGTCAGAACAGAGGTGGGGGGGTCAAGGTGGAGGGTGGAGAAAAGAGCAAGTGCCCTTTGGCCAGTATCCCTGCAGGCGCTCAGAGAAGAGCCAGCCCGATCTGGCCACTGAGGAACCCACTCCGCTCAGGGCGGCACCACGTGCGGCAGAGTTGGCCAGTGTCCACGGGGTTTTCAAGGTTGTGGCTTGTCAGAAAAAGGTCACCATAGCTTTCTTCCAAGGAACCGCTTTTGGGGCAAGTGTGAATTAACACCCTTTCAGTAGGCGGTGAAACACCCAACCAGAGTCACCCGGGTCTCCCTCCCACAGCTCTTGTGGTCACATGCCATCGAGTGTGCAACAACTCACAGTGACCCTATGAATCACAGATCCAACCTCGCCCTGGGAAAGCAGAGTTTAGTGGATGGATGGGGTAGTGGGGAAGGAATGGGAAAGATTCCACTGGGACTTGAAAAGACAGGGTGATAACAAGCATAGATCAATAGTAAGGATATAAAATACAATGTATATAAATCATCGCACTAAGCACAATGCAAAGGAAAGATTATATATACAAGATGGGTGAGAGTGGATATAAATCAATGGTGATTGGCTTTATAAAAGACAATGTATCAGAATGATCTTACAACAACCACATGCTGTGAATGAAGCAATGTATGAAACACAATGTATATGAATGAAACACATTGTATACAAATGATGCACAATATATGTCATTGTTGTTATGTGCCGTCGAGTCGCCTGCGACTCATAGCGACCCTATGTACAACAGCCCTAAACTCCGCTCTGTCCTGTGCCAATCGCACTGTCTCTGACACTCCCATCCCAATTATCCCAATCACTAAATCAATCCACCTCATAGAGGGCCTTCCTCTCCTGTGCTGTCCCTCCACCCCCCTCCCAAGCATGATGTCCCTCTCTAAGGACCGGTCTCTCCTCACAACATGTCCAAAGTAAGTTAGACGGAGCCTCAGAATCCTTGCCTCCAAGGAGCCACCCGGTTTAACCCTCTCCAGGACAAATCTGTTTGTTTTCCTAGCAGTCCATGATATTCTCAATACTCTTCTCCAGCACCACAGCTCAAAGGCATCAATTCTCCTTCTATCCTCCTTGGTCATTGTCCAACTCTCTGATGCATAACAAGTGATTGCAAAAACCATGGCCTGTATCAGACGCACCTTAGTCTTCAGAGAGACACCATTGCTCTTCAGCACTTTGGAGAGGTCCCTAACAGCAGACTTTCCCATGGCAATGCGCCTTTTAATTTCCTGGCTACTGGTGCCAAGACTGTTGACTATGGAGCCAAGCAAACTAAAGCTGTGTACAATCTATACGAATGAAAAAATGCATATAAGTTTTGTATTCAGACAAATATAAAATTAAAAATATATGTAAGAAATTCTTTTAAAACCCACAATATACATAAATGAGAAACAATGTATAGAAATTATTACATGCAAAACCCCCACCCTGTCCTGAGCCATGCTCACCATCCGTGTCCTGTTCAAACCTATTACTGTACTTAGTCAGGGTGTCAGTCCTTCTCGCCGAGGGTCTTCCTCTCTCTTACCAACCTCCCACCTTCCCCACCATGATGTCTTTCTCCAAGGATGGTGAAACTTCATCTCACATACTCTGAGCATGTTGTCAGGAAGGGACAGTCCTTTAAAAAAGACATCATGCTGAGGGGGAAACTGAGGGTCAGTGAAAGAGAGGAGACCCCTGGAGACAGAGTGACATGGGGACTGTAACAAGGGGCCCGCGTGTGGTGGAGACTGTGAAGATGGCACAGGAGAGGGCAAAGATTCATGCTGCTGTTCAGAGGGTCACTGTGAGGTGTAGTCAGTTCAACAACATGGAATAGCAACGGCACGTGCCTTCAAGGACGAAGGCATCCCGGCCCCAAGCCACAGTGCATTCAATCACTTCACGCGCCTGAGAAAGTTAGACAATGAACAGAGAGGAGCCAAGAAGAAGTGATGCCTCCGAATTGGGCTGCTGGTAAACCACTCTAAATATACCATGGGTGGCCCAGAAAAATGATCAAATATATCTTTGAAGAAGTGCCGCCAATGTGATCCCCATCTATCTGGAGTACCTTTCAATCTGAGGGTCTCACCTCCTGGAACCACACTGGACAATGCCCACTGTGGTCCCCAGGGTTTCCAATGACTGGTCATTTCATATGTGGACTGCCCAATCTGCTTCCTAGTCTCCTCTGAAACCTGTCCCCCATGGGTGACCCTGCTGGGGTTTAAAATACCAATGGCATGGTTTCCAACATCACAGCAATTTGCAATCCTGCACAGCACAAAGGAAGACAAGCAGTGGTTGTTATTGTTGTTGTTTGCCAGCAAGTCAGAATCGACCCGTAGCTGACCTTCCTGTGGGTTCTCAGAGGCTGTACATCACACAGGAGGGCACTGCCTATCTTTCTACTGTGGAGCAGAGGGTGGAATTGAACTGCCAGCCTTTGGGTTGGCAGTGCAGCTCTTTACCACTAGGCCAACAGAGCTCCATAAATAAATAAGGGAACGTTTTCTCTGCAATCAAGCCAGGATGTGGAAGGAACGCACTCCCAGGAAGAGTGTTGGGCTGGCCTCTCTGGAGAAATCGAGTCTCAATAGGAAACCTGACCTGTGTTTCTTGAGTTGTGCAGCCAGGTCATCATCTAAGTTCCAAGGAAACTAACAAGGTTTCACTTAAGCAAGATGTTTCCACGCTCTTGGCACCAGCAGTCAGGAAATCAAAAGAAAAATGCACTGGAGAAGTCTGCTGCCAGGGACCTCTCTAAAGTGCTAATGGATAATTACAGCAGTCTAGAGACTAAGGTGCACCTGATCTAGGTCATGGTCCTTGCAATTACTTGCTATGCATCATAGAGCTGGACAATGACTGAGGATGACAGAAGAAGAATCGATGTCTTTGAATTGTGGTGATCGAGAAGAGTCTTGAACATATCATGCATGGATCACCAGAAGAACAAATAGGTCTGTCTTGGAGAGGTTGAAACTTAGTTTCTCTTTGGAGGTTAGAATTTTTAAGCTGTCTCACATATTTTGGGCATGTGGCCAGGAGGGCCCAGTCCTTAGAAGACAGCATACCTGGAAGGGTGGAGGGACAGAAGAGAAAAACCCTAAATGAGATGGACTGACACAGTAACTGGGACAATGGGAGTAGGGGTGTGTCAGAGTCAATGAGACTGGCTCAGGACAGGGCAGGGTTCAGAGCTACTGTATATAGTGTCACTATGAGTCACAGGCAACTCAATGGCACAGAACAACATGTTTCTAAAGAAAATTACTTGGCGTTAACTCTTACTACCAGCTCCTGGCTCAAGAATGTTGTACGCCAACCCACACATTGTATAACTTATCCTGAAAAGTCTACATTGTATCATCCAGTGACTACGGCTGTAAATCTTTTGGAATCTGAGATAGTCTACCTAATTTTTGAAGCCTTTCCCTGTTTTTTTTTTAACCTCCCTTCTGTGACCTCAGTGGCAAACTAACCAAACAATGATTGTACTGTAATCTCTCTGTTTCTTAATTGATTCTGCCCCACTTTGGGTCAATTCTCTGAAATGGTCATGTTTTACTCTGGCAAATGGGTATTTTCCCATCCCAATGCCTTTTTAATGTGGAGTAAATCCTCTGAATCTTCATTTATGATGTGGGTGGTTTCCCCCCTGCAATGGTGTGTGTGTGTGTACTAGCTGAAAGGTTGGCAGTTCAAATCCACCCAGACATGCTTCAGAAAAAAAGGCCAGGTAGACTATTCCCCAAAGCTGTCACTGTCAGAGCAATACCAGTCAAAATCAATGCTGGGGCACCAGGTTCATTAGGCCTCGTTTACATCTCTAAAGCTCAAAAAGCAACAATGAATGAATGGAAATCCAAAATCTCTGTAAATGTTCATTGAAATTAATACTACTAAAAAAACCTTTTTAAATTTTAAAAACAAAAACAAAAACAAATGTGAAGCTGTCAGTGTGAGTGCTAAGGCATCCCTGGCTCATGCCTTCCGTCATCTCCTCTTCATGCACAAGCCGGTCGGTGAAACGGGGAGACAGAAGACTGGATGCAGGTCAGGTTGGTGCTGAAAACCAAACTGAATACACTGAGGGCTGAGCATCGGCATTAGAGTTAAATTCTAGGGTACTTGGTTTGTGGAAGGCTGCAGTCTACAGTGGGAGCCTCAATCTCATTCTGAGTCTTGAGTCCAGACTCTGAGTTTTTCATATTGTGTTGCTGTTGTTGTTATGTACCAGTGAGTTGGAACCGACCCATAGCTGACCCTCCAGCACGTTTTCGGAGGCACTTAATGCCACAGGAGCTGACTGCCCAACTTTTCCCTGCAGTGCAGCTGGTGGATTTGAACTGTGTCACTAGGTCAACGGAGCTCCGTAGGTTTGCTGGTCAATAAGACAGCCACCTTAGACTGTCTTTATTAAATGCCATGGAATGAGAACTGACTCAGAGCTGACCCTGCAGTGGCATGTAGAGGCTGTAAATGGCACAGGAGGAGACTGCCCATCTTTCTCCCTCAGAGCAGATAGTGGATTTGAACGTCCAGCCTTTGAGTTGGCAGCACAGATCCTTACCCACCAGAGCTCCCTGCTCTTATTGGCCTAGGAGGGTACAGCGAGCAGCAGTTGGGTGTCTGAATGTGGATTCCAACTCAAGAAAGAAATGGAATATACCCCAAAGAAACCATAACCACCACCCAAGCAGATATATGCACACCCATGTTTATCACGGCTTTGTTCGCAATAGCAAAGAGTAAGAAACAACCTAAATGCCCATCAACAAAAGAATGGGTAGGGAAGCTGTGGTATATTTACACAATGGAATACTACACTGCATTGAAAAACAAGGAACTCGTGCAATATTATTCAAAATGGGTGACCCTGGAGGACATTATTGTGAGTGAAGTATCTCAGTCACAAAAGGACAAATACTGCAT